AAAAGATAAGAATCAACAATGTTTAACATTTTATCACAGATATTAGTTTCATATATATATTTATTCTTTACTTAACTCATTCCTTGACTTTTTTTTTTATCAGTCCATGAAATGGATACTAAATGCATTCATCATCATGGTGATGGTATTACAGATGATGAAGCATATTTATGGCTTAATGGTGTTGTTCCACCAATATATTTGTCAAATGGTGAAAAACCATCATTAAATCCAACTCGACAAGCACTTGAACAAACATTAACTTGTTTAGATAATGCAAAACAACCAACATTAACATATGCATCAGGTTTAGCAACTGCAACTTCAGTTTGTTTAACTTTATTAAAAAAAGATGATCATGTTATTGTTGTTGATGATGCTTATTCAGGAATAACAAATCTTTTTCAGTATACAGAATTTTGTTTATTTCAAAAAAAAAAAATAAAAAATTTACTTTGTTTTTTTATTTTTATTCTATTTGTTAAGAACATGTTTAAATCGTTGGTCTATACATTCATCATTTATTAATTTATCATTATCACCTTCAATTATAACACAACATCTTCAATCAAATACTCGTCTTGTTTGGCTTGAATCACCATCAAATCCATCACTTCGTTTAGTTGATATTAATATTATATCAACACTTGTTCATTCTTATGATTCATCAATTATTATTGTTGTTGATAATACATTTGCAACACCATTTAATCAATCACCACTTGAACTTGGTGCTGATCTTTGTCTTTCATCATTAACAAAATATATTAATGGTCATACAGATGTTATTGGTGGATGTTTATCAATGAATCGAAAAGATTTATATGATAAATTTTTATCAAGTCAATCATTATTTGAAATGAATTTATCACCATTTGATTGTTATTTAGTTCGACGTGGTTTAAATACACTTTCATTACGTATACATCAACATACGAAAAATGCTTATTATGTAGCTCAATTTCTTGCACAACATCCAGCTATTGAACGTATTTTTTATCCAGCATTACCATCACATCCACAATATGAAATATATAAAAAACAAGGTGGAGCATCTGGTATGTGTAGTTATATATTAAATAAAAATGCTAATGTTAGACAATTTCTTATGTCATTAAAATTATGTACAGTAGCAGTTAGTTTAGGTGGATGTGAAACACTTATTGAATCACCAGCATTAATGACACATCGATCAACACTTTATGCAAATGAAACTAATGAACAAATGTCTGAAAATTTAATTCGTATGTCTGTTGGTTTAGAAAATATACAAGATATAATTAAAGATTTAGATCAAGCATTATATAAATCAATTAATCAAGATAAAATTAATCAAAATGAAATTAATAGTGATGATTGGGAATTAATTGAAGAAGCTAAACGTGTATCTCATCGTTTACATCAACCATATTTACATACAGTTGTAGCTGTTTTACGTACAATATCTGGTCATATTTATTCTGGTATTCATATTGAATCATCACAAGCATATGCAACTGTATGTGGAGAAGTTAGTGCTATATCATCAATGGTTAATGATGGTCATCGAGATTTAGCAACTATAATAGCAATATGTGGATTTGATGACGATAAAAATCGTTTTAAAATTATGAGTCCATGTGGTAGATGTCGAGAATTAATTGGAGATTTTAATCCTAATGCACAAGTTATTGTAGGAACAATTGATAAACCTTATCGAATGGCAATTAGTGATTTAATGCCATTGAAATCATGTCTTATTATAAATGAAAATGATGAATAATAATTTTATTTTTCTTTAATAATTTGATTAGATTGATTCTTTTTTTTTTTTTTTATAGATTATATCGATTAATAAAAATCAATGGAAGGTGAATTGTCAGCTCCTCTTCAAAAAGCCGATAAAGATGAAGAATATCAACGAGAAACTCCAGGAACAGGTATTGAAACGGATGCTATTCATGTTGGACAAGAACCTGAACGTTGGCCAGGTCAAGCTGTTGTTCCACCAATATCAATGGCAACAACATTTAAACAATTAGAACCAGGCAAACCTGTTCTTTATGAATATAGTCGATGTGGAAATCCTACACGACAATGTTTAGAAGAATGTTTAGCATCACTTGAAAAAGCTAAATATGCATTAACATTTTCATCAGGTCTTGGTGCAACAACAACATTAATGTTTATGCTTAAATCAGGTGATCATATTGTATCAATTGATGATGTTTATGGTGGAACAGGAAGATTATTTAGGTTTGTCTGATTTTTGTTAAACATGATCTAAAAATTGTTAGCACAATCTCTGCAGTGGTGTCCTGGAATCGGGTCGGGTACCCGACAGTTAATTAAATCTTGACGTTTCAAAAAATATCTTTATTTTTTCAAACTATTATTTATATAAAAGCATAGAATCGAAAGCCAATTCAATTGTAACTGAGCTATCAATTATACTTGAGAACGGATGATCACAGAAGTAGAAAGCAATATTGTTTTACTAAGAGAATTCGCTTATAATGAAAATTGATTTATAAATGCTAAGATAACATATGACAGAGTAACTGATTATATAGAGAGGAAAATGAACTATCAAAAAGGTAAACATGTATTTTCATGTTGTGTAAATAGCATTCATCTATATATCCATGAGTACGATGCTTGACAACATTATGTTCCATTTCAACTTTATCAGCAATCAGTAAATATATAATTATCGAATTATAGAAGCAGAAAGACATTGAGTGAATCCGAAATCACTTGATTCATTTATCTTTTCTGCAGAATTTGAGATGATCTATTTCTTTTCTTGCTGTGTAATGAAGAAACTAAACAGTATACTTTTTCATATCAAGTAAAAGTTTAGAAACTATAGTATGAGTGTGGAAATATTTAACGCTGAATCAGGTGCCAGGTACAACTATTCGGACCCGGCTATTAAAAAAAGTACCGGGTGCAAAAAGCGTACCCGTGCAGGACACTACTTTGGGGAAGTAAAACATGAAACACAATGTAGCTGCTGTTGTTAATCATAGAGAGACTGTTTCATTCTATCTTTTTTGGAAAAGATTTCTTCATCCTTAAGAAATGCAATAAAGGAGTAGTTCATTCATTATAACGAGACGTTGTTGATACACAGTCTGTGATGTTTCCATGGTAATATCCTCTCATGGTCTGTAGGGAGGTTCAAATTTCTACAGTGTATAATTTAACACTCCTTTTAGATTGTGTTCCACAAAAGAAGTGTTGAAGTATAAGGGTAACAATTTGTACCTTCACACAGACAATATCATAGGTAGGGAGCTGCAGATCCGCATTTTCGTGGGCCCGGCCGGCGCCAAATCCGAGATTTTTTCCATCAATACGTATCACTCTTCGTGTACATGAACAAGTAAAGGATTGAGGTTTTAGCAATTTATTCACCACTCTCTGCAAAAAAAAACTCAGCGTGCAGTTATATCTTGTTCTTATATTTCTCATTTGGGGAAAAGCGGATTCACAAAAGCGTGTAACAGGACCTGACAAAAAATAAAAGATTGAATCCGAATCCGAATTCGACCTAGGCTCAACAAAAATAAATAAAACTTTGGACCTGGGCTCAGATTCGGCCATGTCTGGAAGTACCCGCAGTTCCCTAACCATTGAAACAGATGCCTTAGCGAACTTCGACTTCTCCTCCTCACCTACGTCATAAATCGTCTATCAATAATGTCTAATTATAATATATGAACTACTTTCTTATTGCATTTCTCAAGGATTGAATAAAATGATGTTGAAGAAATGCGTCCTGAAATAGATAGAATAAAACAATCTCCCTGAATCACATCGTGTTTCAGATTTTAACCTCTCTGCAAGAATTTTGTTGACAGCTGTTGTTTTTTTTTGTTTATTGAAAAAGGAAAACATAGTTTGAAATTTTTAGACGTTGTATGGCTCAAATGGGTGTTGAAAGTTCCTTTGTTGATATGTCAACAGATCCATCTTCAATTGTTAAACATCTTAAACCAACAACACGTCTTGTTTGGATTGAAACACCAACTAATCCATTATTAAAATTAGCTGATATTAAAGAAATAACTACTCTTGTTCATAAATATGATCCAAAAATCATGGTACTTGTTGATAATACATTTGCAACATCATTTTATCAACGTCCACTTGAACTTGGTGCTGATTTTGTTTTACATTCATTAACTAAATATATGAATGGTCATTCCGATGTTGTTATGGGTTGTATAATGATGAATAATGAAGAATATTATAAACAACTTAGTTTTCTTCAATATGCTATGTAAGTAGTAGTAAATATTTTGTTTTGTTTTTTTTCTAAGAGAAATAAATTATTTTTTTTTAATATTTTAGTGGAGCTGTTCCATCTCCATTTGATTGTTATCTTGTTAATCGTGGTCTTAAAACATTAGCTGTACGAATGAGACAACATATGTCATCAGCTTTACGTATTGCTAAATATCTTGAAAAACATAAATATATTGAACGTGTCATTTATCCAGGATTAGAGTCTCATCCACAATATGAATTATATAAAAAACAAATGTCTGGTTTTAGTGGTATGATATCACTTTATCTTAAAGGTGATGAAGTTGAAAAAAGTCAACGATTTTTAAAACATCTTAAAGTTAGAATAATTCTTATCGATGAATTAAATATAAAAATTAGAAATTTTTTATATATATATTTTTTTTTTTATAGTTATTTACAACAGCTGAATCCCTTGGTGGTTATGAATCATTAGTTGAACTTCCTGCTATAATGACACATGCAAGTGTACCAGAAGAACATCGTCGTGAATTAGGTATTACTGATGGTCTTATTCGAATATCAGTTGGACTTGAAGATGTACGAGATTTACTTAATGATATTGAAAGTGCACTTCAATATGCATTTTCTGATACAAAGAATAACTAAAAATGAAAACTTTATTAATAAATTTTCTTTTTAGTTTTTTTTTTTTTTTAAAAACAAAATGGGTTTTTTTTATTTGTTTGTGTCATTATTTTAATTAATTATGTAGTGTTGATGCAAACAGTTTTTATTTCAGTAAATACATCTTCAGAATAAGGATAACCTTCACGACCAATACCACTATCTTTAATACCACCAAATGGCATACGAAGATCACGTATCATCCAACAATTAATCCAAACTGTACCACACTAATAATAATAATAAAATATTTATTTTATTCAAAAATTAAAAAAAAAGATTTTTCTAATCTTACTTCCATTTGAGTAGCAAGACGATGAGCTCGACCAATATTTTCTGTCCATATACAACCACAAAGACCATATTGAATATTATTTACTCGTTTCATAACCTACATATAGAAAATATTTCTAAAGAAATTTTCTTTTTGTTTTTTAATCTTTACTTCATCTTCTGTATCAAATGGTACAATACAAACAACAGGTCCAAAAATTTCATCTGTCATTAATTTTGAATTATCATCAACATTTAAAATAATTGTTGGCATCATAAAATAACCTTTATTTGTTTTTTTTGTATTTTCATCCATTTCACCAGTAGATATAACTTCATATCCACTTTGTCGTGCTAATTCAATATATTTTTCTATTTTATTTTGATGTTCTTTACTAACAACAGGACCCATTTTAGTATTATCATCAAATGGATCACCAACTTTTAAGTTTCTAATTATAAGAAAACAAAAGTAAAGATAGAATTTTATTTATTTTTTTAACATACTTAACTTCAGCAATAAATTTTTTAACAAGTTCATCATATATTCCTCGTTGAACATATAAACGACTTGTACATAAACAAATTTGACCAGAATTTTGAAAACATGATCTAAATATATAATTTTTTCTTTATCATATTTAAAAGAAAATATTTAATATAAATACCGAAGTAAAACAGGAAGACATTTGGTAAGATCGACATCATTAAAAATAATTCCTGCATTTTTTCCTCCCATCTAATAATAAGTAAACATGTGTTTTTTCTTCTTCTTTAAATAAACAAAAAAGAAATTTATTTGTTTTTTCTCTTACTTCGAGTGATAATTTAATAGGTAAATGTGATGTTGCTTTTTTAATATGATAACCTGTCAGTGTACTACCAGTAAATGAAATAACATTAACATCAGGATGAGTAATAAGAGCTTGACCAGCTCGTGGACCAACACCAAAAATAAAATTAACAACACCAGGTGGAAGTCCTAGATTGAAAAATAATAAATTATTTTCTATTGAAAAAGTAAGACAAATGTCGATGATCATTCTAATTAATTTTAGGGATTTCTTTTTTAATATAGTAAACATCAATATTTAGTTTAGCTTTTTCTTTCACGTCATAAAAAATTCAAACTTAATCTTAGTATAGTAAGAATTTTTCTTACATTTTTTTTCTGTTCGAAACTATAGTAGATTTTTTTTCATCAATATTTACTAGAAGAATTATTTAAAAATATTTTTATTCGATTAATAGTTTTACTATCCACTATTTTTATTTTGTGGTGTTGTATAATGTTGAAAATTCTGCATATCAGACATAATTACGATGATCATTACATCTGCAGAAAAGTCAAACTGTTGTCGAAACAATGATACAAATAATTTTCATCTCTGATTATAAGACAATGATCCTTAAACAAAAACTCTTCATTTCATTATTACTTATTCAACTGAATAATAATAAAACATATCGAAAATATTCAAATAGTAAACTGAAAGTATATGCATGACACAATTTATCATCAAATGAAAATAATGATAAACATCAAGCAACAAATACAATTTAAAAATCAAATATTCTTAATGATTTCATCTACACATAATTTAACATCAAATACACGATGGTAATTGTTATCTTATCATTAAATAATAAATATATCGATATTCGTATACAACATTTACTTCCATGTCGTCTCTTTTTTAACAACTGTGACGCAGTTACACTGTTAGTGCAAAAAATGACGACACAGTTATGCGTAGTTACGATAAAAAATTCGTACTTGTGCACAACTGCGTCGCAATTCAATTGTAATCGAAAAAACATGGCATATTAATAATAATTACTAATAGAAACTTATCATAGATAATTCCAGTTCAATTTGAAAGATTCAACAATAAAGATTATATAGCAAGTGATATTGAAAAACGTTATATATATATATATATATCAGTTAGAAGCATCTTATTGGTTAAGATAGTTAATATAGATACATACCTACATCGATAAAAACTTGAGCAAGCATACCAGCTGTCACAGAAGTAAATTCACTAGGTTTACATACACAAGTACAACCAAATGCAATACATGGTGCAATTTTCCATGTTAATAAATATAATGGTAAATTCCATGGACTAATTAATACAGCAACTCCTATTGGATTTCGTACTGTATAACTTATCACATTAGGTATTGTTGGATGTGGAGTAAAACTAAATCAATATTTTTTGTCAAATATTCATTTTTTCATTAACAATAAAAAAAAACGAAAAAAAAATAAATTTTATATTTTACATTTCACGACTTTGCATTAAAGCTGTTGCAAAAAATCGAAAATTATCAATTGCTCTTGGTATTTCCATAGTACGTGCTAACCATAATGGTTTACCTTGATCTAATGATTCAGCACGAGCAAAATCTTCTAAACGTGCTTGTATTAAATCAGCAATACGATTAAGATAATAGACTCGTTTAGTGATTGTTTCATGACTCCATCTAAACAAAATAAAACAAGAAAAAAACTTGAAAGCTTTATTTTATTTTTTTTTATAAATACGAAGGAAATGCTTGTCGAGCAGCTTGAACAGCTCGTTCAGCATCTTCTGCTGAACTATCAGCAATATGAGCAATAACTTCTTCAGTAGTTGGATTAAAACTTTTTAAATAATCTTCTGTCGATACAAATTGTCCGTTGATAAAATTATTGATACGTTGTATAGAAGCCATATTGATTTTCACTTGAATATCTTACATAAATAAAAAAGAAATGAAGCGTAAAAAAGAATTCGAAAAAAAAAATCTTTGGTGTATTCGTTCTTTTACTTTTATATTAACTTCATTAAAGTATGTTTTATAAAAAATGTACCTCTATCCTATACATTATCTAACCTACGTTTGTTGATAGCATATAAAGGAAGATGTCGTCATAAACGAAAAGTAATTCAATATGTGAGAAAATATTTAAATTCGTTTTGATGAAACTCTATACAAGATGAGCTAAAAATATGAATACGATAAAAAAAAACAATTGAACTATGATCTCTAGGTTGCTTCAGCCAAACGAACTGTTTTTTGATAGTGATAGAGATATATTTAAAGTTTATATTCATAAAGATAACATAAGTAAACACTATTTTGAAGTATCATTATTGACATAGGGAAGAAAAACGAAAGATATTATCAAGTAAAAATAATATGTTAAATATTACATAATTTTCAATATTTCTCTAT